AAAAAAAAAAAAAAAGGGGGGGGGGGGGATAATGCTAAAATAAAAGTATTTACGTGCGAATTTAGTCCTTTTTTTAGAGCAATTAGATAAAGAGCTGAGCGAGGGAATACGCATCTTTCGGCGCAGATTTATTCAAAATAAATCTTTAAATTCTTTAAAGTCGTTAAGGTTATTATAGGATTATATTTTGACGAAAAAAGTGACGTGAATTAAATCCGATTCGAATATCGCATCAACTGATTGAAGTAAGTCACTTTGCATCTCGCGTGATTTTCTAATAATCGATTAAGAAGTATCCATACAACCATTAAAATTTGAATTTGCGACTTACTTCAGATTGACAAAAACGAGGAAAGTTCGAACTTTGAACGCGTTTCTTCGACCGACGACGCTGCAAAGTAACTAGGAATGCAATAAATGAGAGAGAAAATTCAGTGAAACGAGTTTCCATCGCTTGGAGGCGTATCTCTAGCGATGAGGAAAATAATCAACGCAGGTAAACATTGCAAGGTGATCCACTATGCGAATGACTCGCTCGAGTCTAATTCTAGGCTACGTTCCAAAACTTCCTCTCCGAGGAAGATTTTATTCTATGTGCTAGTATACGTCACATGTACTATATATTTCGAGTAAAATTTTCCTCGGAGAGGAAGTTTTGGAACGTAGCCTTAGTGATGGTAGTTTCGTGCATGGTCTGTACATATTCGAGTGTCGAGTCATGTCGGAGTGTCTTTCCCCGCACACCGTTACGGCGACGCGGATGGGAAGCCACTTTGAACTAATTAACCCAATGTTGTTCCATCAAGTCACTGAAAAGTCTTCCGTGCATGCACGAAAATCCTTCAATGGCGTGATAAAACCTTCCATCAATCAATAACAGAGGCAATACAGTTCACAGAAATACTGGTCCCAGGCATATCTACACTGTTAATCTATAATCTAATATAGTGTCAAATTTAACCTAATGTGAGTCGCCACTACTCCTAAATATATCGTTATTTTTTATCAAAACGATAGTTAAATTATATTAGTGACATTAGATAAATTATATTAGAGACATTATATTAGTGTGTCAATTTGACACTATATAGTGTTAGGTTAAATTTAACATTATAGTGTGGGAGTCGATTGATATTTTGAAATGAGGTGAAAATTACATAAACTAGCAAATTTACTAGCATATTTATAATTTCATTGATCAACATCTAGTGAATTCACTCACTTTTCTAATTTTCACCTCATGTTAAAGACACATAATCAATTCTTTATAGAGCGGTCTGTGCCTCAGACATTCCACTTCAAACTGGGCACCTTTGAAACATTGTCATTAAAAAATTTTTTTTTTAATTTGCTAACATATTCTACAGAAAAATATGACATGTGTTTCGCAAAAAAAATTTGAGATTTTTTTGTGAAGTTATTCACGCTTGTAAGTTGCAGAAATTTATAAAAAATTGCTTATGCGAAAATTCAAATTATTATATCGTCGAAACCATTAGTAATACAAAAAAAATACAAGAAATTATTTAAGATCTTTAAAATTGTCTCTTATATATATTAATTATATATATATTTTTTTTGTATGACTAATGGTTTCGAAAACAACCATTAGTCATACAAAAAAATGCAAGAAATCAATTTTAAAGAATAATTTCTTAAATAATTTCTTGCATTTTTTTTGTACGACTCAAACTTTTTTTGCGAAACACGTATCTCATACTTTTATTTGTAGAATATGCCATCAAATAAAAGAAAAATTAAAAATGACAATGTTTCAAGTATCTGATTTGACATGGAATGCCTCACCTGTGAGATTGAGAGAGAAAATTATATCTTTTGCTCTCTGCGATTATATATATTTAGATTTAACACATCTACAATAGAAGTGGTCTTAGATCGTAGAAAATTAACCAATCATAGTCGAATAATCGAGAATAATGAGAAGAATCGACTATAATTGGTCAATTTTCTATGATTTGTGATCCTATGACTTCTGTAGACATCGTATTAGTTACTCGAATTCTTGAGTAAAGTTTCGAAATGCAGATCGATAATTTTCTTTCAAATAGAGTATATGTATTTTATAATTTGCATTAGTAAAAAACCTTCCATTTTCATTTATTTTCAAAAATTTCCCTTCGACCTTTCAATGGGTCTTAAAATCTTTCAAATGAAGGAAATCCTTCCAATGGAACTGCATTGAATTAATCACCGCGATGCTGAGGTTCACAGGGCATGACAGGAGAGATGACAGGAGGAGAGATCAGTCGGTGCTCACACATAACGCGCGCCTGCAAACGGAAGGTCGGCCGGTCAATCAGCCAATACTAATTCACCGTTCATTTATCACAATCTTGGTCTATTACAGCCTGTTACATTGGCACGAGCAAGTGACCAAGCTTAACCGAATCGTTATCCATTGGAGTATCTACCTCTGCGAAAACTAAAAGAAAGTAAAAATGCATGGGCGATTCGAAGATATTGTCAAGACATATCGTTCCAAGAATTGGATTCGTCATTTCAAAAATCGGAATTACGTGCGTGCTTCATGATTCTTGAACATTTTCTTTTATAACATCTTTTTTTAACATACTTTAATTATTTTATTATGAATTTTGAAATTAGTAAATAAAATAAAGAAAGAGCGAGAAACTTAGACATAGGATATTTATCTATTTTTAGACATTACAGAATGCTAGGAAATTGGTACAGTAATTTCGCCTCGTGTATTTAAGATGTCATGAAATAATTAACATATAATGAGATATCGATTCATAGAATTCTTATTATTAATTTATCTAATGTTTACTGAAAACTTTTAATAGTAGATTATGATATACATGATTGTACGATAGATAAGAAATTTTGCAATTTGCAATGCACAACAATCATTTATTAGATAATATAAGATATACAAGATTTTTATAATTATAACCAATATTATAATAGAATAATTCATTTCTTAAGAGCAATCTAAAATATGTAATAAAAAATTAAAGAATAATTATAAATCTAATTTTGTATTTAAAGATAATTTGTAACGTTCTCTAATTTATATTTATTTTCTTTAATTTAGTTATTTTTTATGGATTTGAAGATTTTGAAGACTAACAAAAGACAAAATACAATATAAAAAATGAATGTATCAATGGAAAAGAAGCTCTTTGATTAACTGATTCCACAATAAATATAGATTAATTTAACTCTACATTCTCTTAGTTTTTAATTAATAAGATGTTC